TCAAGGTGGGTTCATTATGGCTCAGTGTAGAGAAAATATCAAGGTGGGTTCATTATGGCTCAGTGTAGGGAAAATATCAAGGTGGGTTGTTTCTAATGGCTCAGTGGAGGGAAAATATCAAGGTGGGTTCATTATGGCTCAGTGTAGAGAAAATATCAAGGTGGGTTCATTATGGCTCAGTGTAGAGAAAATATCAAGGTGAGTTGTTTCTAATGGCTCAGTGTAGGAAAAATATCAAGGTGGGTTCATTATGGCTCAGTGTAGAGAAAATATCAAGGTGGGTTGTTTCTAATGGCTCAGTGTAGGGAAAATATCAAGGTTGGTTCATTATGGCTCAGTGTAGAGAAAATATCAAGGTTGGTTCATTATGGCTCAGTATAGAGAAAATATCAAGGTTGGTTCATTATGGCTCAGTGTAGAGAAAATATCAAGGTGGGTTCATTATGGCTCAGTGTAGAGAAAATATCAAGGTGGGTTCATTATGGCTCAGTGTAGAGAAAATATCAAGGTGGGTTCATTATGGCTCAGTGTAGAGAAAATATCAAGGTGGGTTGTTTCTAATGGCTCAGTGTAAGGAAAATATTAAGGTTGGTTCATTGTGGCCCAGTGTAGAGAAAAGTGTTATTACTTATGGTGTCATGATTATATGCCAGAGATAAGAAAGTGTTTGAATAACTTCAGCCCATGAGCTAGATCCAGCCCATCACCATCTTGTTTGTTTGTACAGCCCATGAGCTGAGGTTGAATTTCCACTCTTAAAACGTTCAAATTCACAGTATCTTTGAAACACATAGCAATCCTATAGATTTAAATTTGCATCCTGCTTGATGCCACAGCTGTCATACAACACACTTATTATTCAGCAATATTCTTTTTATTGAAATTTAGATTTATAAGTTTTTTATTAATTGATGAATAATACCTGTTAAACTAATATTTCACAATTAACAATATTGTAATCAGGTGAATGACTTGTCAGTTACTCTAAAACAAGGGTCTCAAACTCAAATTATCTGGGGGCCGCAGGAGGTAGTCTTAGTGAGACTGGGACGCATCAAGTATTCCACAAAACAAGCGATTACAAATTCACTAAAGTTCAACTGTTACAACCTGCTCAACCTTTGTTAATAATAAATAAAAACATTAAGGGTTCTCAAGAAATAGGCCGTCACATGGCGTATCAATGTTGGCATGACAAAAAATAATAAAATAAAAATATTGCGATTCTTACTGGCGATTTCAAACTGAAATATGTTCAAAAAGAGGGCATGAGCAAGAAATATTTATGAATTATTGATGTGAAGGAAGATGCTATTGTACGGAGAATGAAATTTAATTTTTTTATTCGTAGAAAAGGAATTTTTGACTAAGCCTTTTTGGAAAGTTACCAAAGCTCACAGTATTGGAATTTCCCTCACTGGTCACTCCTACACACTAGCGGCAATTTTAATAGGGATTCTTTGATGCTGAGTCAGATTGCTACAATTTACACAATTCTGGTTGTGCATTACCCACTAACTGACTTTTTAAACTTTTGATATATGTACATACAATATTCAAAGCGTTTTTTTCTCAAACCCGCTCTTTGGCCGCCAAGTTTGTCTCATACAATGCTATAAAATAAAAACCTTAAGTCCTTTCTAAAACGGTTTTTACCTTTATAATTAACAACAAAACCTATACAAACTTAATATAAATCAGAATTTGACTAGTCGGTGAGATTTGACTGAAACCATTGCGGAGGGCCCCATTTTAGATATGAGAATGGGGAAAGTGCGCGAGCCGCATTAACACTAATCTTAGCTGTCAAGTAGGGGGCCGCAAAATATGGTATTGTGGGCCCACGGGGCACGAGTTTAAGACCCCCTGCTCAAAAATATATATGACTTGACTGGTAAAATTATTATCTTATACTTATTTCATTTCATCTGCAGGTACTTCGCCACCCTGATCACATTCCAGGTAAAGGTGTTCTGCTATGGGCTCACCATGAGAAGCTGGTGATCATAGACCAGAACATTGCCTTCACAGGTGGGCTGGACTTGTGTTATGGCAGATGGGATGATGAGCTGCACAAGTAGGACATAGTTTATCTTTGACATTATTTGTTTTTTGACATTATTTGTTTTTGACATTATTTGTTTTTTTGACATTATTTGTTTCTGACATTATTTTTTTTTGACATTCTTCTTATTTTAATATGTGGTAATATTGGTCATGTGTTTGTTCATAATCCATGTGTTGTACATCCATATAGATTTCTAAATTGTAGATCTACACTTTGGCACACTTTCAAAGAAATGATTTATTTTATACTGTGGTATAAACTATATGTACTCTTTTAATGCTATAATTCTTGAAATAATAATGTATGTGTTCAACTTTTACTATGTAGATACCATACAACATATGTACAAGCCCTATTTGCAATAACATACCATTTAGAATTACCGCCACCTAACTTAAGACTCTCTCATATATAAAGCCTGGATACATCAGCGATAACTGACATTCTTGTCCCAACAGATCACTGACATTCTTGTCCCATGAGATCACTGACATTCTTGTCCCAAGAGACCACTGACCTTCTTATCCCAAGATATCACTTACATTCTTATCCCCCGAGATCACTGACATTCTTGTCCCAAGATATCACTGACATTCGTATCCCAAGAGATCACTGACATTCTTGACCCAAGATATGACTGAAATTCTTATCCCAAGATATCAATGACATTCTTGTCCCAAGATATCACTGACATTTTTATCCCAAGATATCACTGACAGTCTTGTCCCAAGATATCACTGACATTCATATTCCAAGAGATCACTCAACATATCACAGACATTCTGGTCCCAAGATATCACTGACATTCTTATCCCAAGAGACCAATGACATTCAAATCAATAGTATTTTTTTTTTAAATTAATTGTAGTTTTTGTTATATTTTAAATTTTTTAAACAATTTTCCAAATTTTCTTTTTCACATTTTTTAACATAATTTGTTTTATTTAAACCAGGCCTGCACAACTCAAAATGTAAGGTGGGCCGTAAAACTTTATGAAAAACTTGTGTGGGTCGTAATACATTATGAAAAACTTGTGCGGGCTGAAAGATTTTAGGACAGGGGCAAAAACTAGTAAGAAAATAATAATAACAAAGAATATTTTGTTACTTCTGGGGCCACCAAAGTTGGTACTGGCGGGCTATCAAGTGGGTGCCCTGCGGGCCATCAAGTGGGTGCGGGCGGGTCTTCAAGTGGGTGCTGGTGGGCGATCAAGTGGGTGCTGACGGGCCATCAAGTGGGTGCTGGCGGGCCATCACGTGGATGCTGGTGGGCCATCAAGTGGGTGCCGGCGGGTCTTCAAGTGGGTGCTGGTGGACGATCAAGTGGGTGCTGGCAGGCCATCAAGTGGGCGCTGGTGGGCCATCAAGTGGGTGCTGGCGGATCTTCACGTGGGTGCAGGCCTGATTTACACCCATAACTTTTGCCATTTAAATTAATTTTTTTTAACTCTCTGAGAATCCTCAAACCTGCTCACAAATATAAGGAGTTTAAAAATATGGAATATTGGGTGTGTGTTCCTTTTTGGACTTATTGTTTATTCTACATTTAATAGATTTAAAATTACATTAATTGAAAAGGGATTAATGCCATCCCACGAATGAATGGATTACTATGAAGGCAATATTCTCTCTGCTACAGGATGACAGATCTGGGTTCGATAAGTTTGAAACCAAAACTTGACACACCGTTCTCAGCTTCTGACAACAACTTACATCAGGAGCTCTCCAGTCATACAGAGCTGTCTGTGGTATGTGGTTGGATAATTGATTTAACTCAATGCTAAAAAAACTGTTGGAGTCAATGTTTGATCTGTCACAACTCAAGTCAGAATAGTTATTAGTAA